TTAATTGAACTCAAGGAGGGGGAGGTGGGAACCTCTGATCTAGAGCTGGTTTGTCAGAAGCACAGGGGACAACATGGGTTTACGACTGACATTGATGTGGCGGGTGGGGGGCAGTCTTGCGAGGCTGCGTCCTTAACCTGTGGGGTCTGGTGCTACTTCAGGGTAGATAATGTCAAAGTTGAATTAATTGCTTGGTGGCGTGAAAATAAAAGCACTTTGGAGGACCCATCCCTCCTGTTTGCCCATCAACCTCTTCAACAGTTTCTTCCCCTCCTCCACCCACCTTAAGGAGTTTTCCAGGAAAGGTTTCTAGGGTGACTCAGACTCTCGTTGGACTACAGCTTTTGTTCTCTCTACCACAGCAATTATGGCCCCTGCTATTGAGTAATTAATGATGTCATTATTTGCTTAAGGATGGCCTTTCCTGTTAGAACATAAGCTCTTTGAGGGCGGGACCATCTGTTGTAGTCCACAATTGGCCCCTCACTGGCACTCAGCAAATCACTGCTGAGTACAAAAAGCGGGGACCCATACTCATCTTTTTCATCCTTGTAATCCCAGGACCCCGTGCAAGGCCTGTTCGAGGGTATTTGCTGAAGGCTTACTACGTTCAAGGCTCATTAGACCCTGTATCCACCATCTCATTTGATCTACACGATAACCCTCCACTTTACAGATTAGGAAACCGAGGCCCACAGAGGTTGGGTAACTTGCCCAAGGTCACATGGGCAGGGAGTTACCATGCCATGATTTTATTCTATGTCCGTGGTGAGTTGAATGGCGACCCCTCAATGTTTAGTCCCATGTCCTAATCTCCAGAATCAATAAGTTTTGGAAAAAAGGTCTTTGTGGATGTAATTAAATTAGGGACCTCAAGATGAGGCCATCCTGGATTAGGGGGGGTCCCCATGCAATGGTGAGCATCCTTGAAAGAAAAAGGGGGAAGAGACCACCGAGAGGGCAGAGGTGTGAAGGCAGGGACAGAGATAAGAGTCCTGCAGGTACAAACCAGAGAGTGTCAAGGATTGTCTGCCACCACCAGACGCTAGGAGAGAGGCACGGTACAGATTGTCCCTCAGCCTCCGGGAGAAACCAGCCCTGCCAACAACACCCTGATTTCAGACTTCCAGCTTCCAGAACTGTGTGAGAATAAGTTTCTATTGTGTTTAGCCACCTAGTTTGTGGCAATTTGTTACGGCAGCCCCAGGAAACAAATATGGACCCCAAGCCACACGGCAGCAGACCGGGTGTCTCCTTACCAGGCCCGGAAGCGAGGGGGTCCCAAAAGTCCCCAGATGTGTGACTGTGGTCTGGTCACTTACCTTCTCTGGGCCCGAGTGCTCGGTAGTAAAGCAAGCCCTTGAGATACCAAGTGTCCCTTCATCTCTACATGCAACTCTCAGGAAAAACCATGAGCCAGGCAAGCAGGGCTATGTTGGGATTTTCAAATTTATTCCAACATGCTGTCTTTTTTTTTAAAAAATATCCTCAGGCTGAACACTCAGCCAGAGCTGTAATAAAGGCAATTATTATACGTGTAAAAACTTCTCATTCACAGTACAGATGTAATTTACAACAAAGGTCACACACCTCAATACTGAGCATTTTCTTCCTTTTGTACGTCAGACTCTGTGCTTTCGACCTGTGTGGATTTTTTTTTTGTTGAGTTTTTTTTTCTTTTGCACTGATATATACCATACCAACATTGCAAGATGCAAGTATAGAAACTGGAGATTAAATAAAATTACAGGCAAAACTACCCCATCCCAGTGTGGTTGCTGTACATATCTACAGTACAATTTTTAGAATGTATTGCCATTTAGGAACATAGAAACTCTCTACAGACAATTTCACGGACAGAATACATACACCTTTTAGAGAAAAAAGGCAAATATTTATCTTACAGAGAGCATGTATCTTACATTTGCCAACACATTTCCTTTTTCTGTTTCTTTTTTTTTTTTTTAACACTAAATCGAGTAAAGTGATCGTAAGTGCCGAAGCAGTTTTCTAGTGGAAAGCGGACCAGTTTCACGACACAGAAGCAGAATTTGTGGGACAGGCCTCAGGAACTGTCTCCCCTTGGTCAGTGCTTCAGATGTGTCCCCAAGGATGGCTGCCCAGGAGGGATTTTTGCTTAAGAAGGATTTGTCCGAAGAAAGGTCTAGAGAGTAACTCAGCTCAGAGATATTGCTTGTTCCTGTTCAAAAGGACCATGTGGGAATGGAGTAAGGGTGAGAGAGATCAGGAAGCTAATTTTCTCAGACTTTTTCCCACAGAGAGACTTGTGGGTCTGGAAGTTGGAGGTGGGAGAGTGAGCAAGTTCACTATGGTCAGGCTCCAGGGGTGGGGGGTGGGGAAGGGGAGAGGAGGTAGAGGTGGGGTGGCAGGGAATCTCAGTGGGTGGGGCCAGAGTGTAAGTGGTGGATGGGGGGTCCGGGGAAAGGTGCCTCAGAGAAAAACAGGGTTAGTAACCAGAGTGACCTTGAGCTCACTGAGGGTGAACAGCATTCTGGAGGGTAGGCCTGGGGTTAAGTGAATGCCCAACGGAGGGCAAGGGCTGTCTGCAAAACCTCAGCAGCGTGTTCCTCCCCCACTGCCAACACCCGAGGTCCACAGCAGGCCTGTGCCAAGGAGCGGCCATCCCCCACGTGCTAACAGAGCATGCAGCAGGTGTCTGCCAACCAGCCAGCACTGCTTTCTCCGCCGCCTCCCTCAACACGGACAACAGTCTCGCAGGCAAACTGGAGACGCGGGTGTGGTTGGGAGCAGGGCAGGAGCCTGGGAAGCAAGAGTCTTTTTCCAAATTATGAAGGTGTGTGTGGGGGCTGGGCTCTGTGCTCAGGGGTGTGGGAAGAGAGTCTGGCAGAGGGGGTTAGAGCTATGCCCAGGGACACGTGACCCAGACGGGTGGCATCAATCCCGCCCCTCTGAGCACCTGTGTGGGGCAACAGCCCTTGGGCCAGATTCTGTTTGTGGAATGGGCCAGACTCATTGAGAAAGGGGGCTCCAGTGACCCCTGGGCTCAGCCCCCTCTACCTATGCCTGTGGCCTAAGTGACCACGAGGACTCTCCCCTGCTGGCCATACTGTCCACGTCGGTACCTTCCAGGAGGGAAACCTGGTGGGCGGGCCATCTGAGTGCAGAAGGGCGTGACCGCCCCCAAAGTCAGGGACTAATCCAGCAAGGCGCCTGGTCTGCTGCTCCGGGGGTCTGGGGCTGGAAGATCGTGCCCGGGAAGATTTCAAATCTGGGCAGCAGCGGTGCCCTTTATCCAGCTCCCAGGGCTCCGCCCTTGAAGCCCCAAGCCCAGGGGCAGGACTGAAAGGCAAGGGGCAGGAAGGCCCCAGCCTCAGCCTGGGTGAGTGCTGCCTGGGCCCTTCCCACTCCTGCCAGGCCAAAACAGTGCTGATGTGGCCAGGGCCCGGCTTGCTGGCCTCCTCCCAGGGTGGGCCGGAGTCCCGGACATGGGGTCAGGCAGCCGAGAACTGCTGGGGCCTAACCCCCTACCGCCCCCAGCACCTTGGAGCCCATTGGCCGCCGGGGAGACCCTTTCCCTCTTTCCCCGTTTTTGTCTTAGCTCTGAGTGAGGTCAAAGGAAAACAAACTAGCTGGGGCGGTGGAGGCTGGACCGGTGACTGGGGTGACTACCCAGCAGGGGTCAAGCAAGACAGGGCCCTGCACGGGAGGAAAAGGGATTATGGCCAAGCTTAGGGAGCTCACAGCAGCGTAACCCTCTGCGCCTTGGGGCGTCCGTCTGAACGACAGCAAAGGGGCCCTCTGCGGGGGCAGCATTCCTACCGCCTGGCTGAGCACTGGGGACCAGCCAGGGGAGTCCCTGCCCTGCCAGGTGGCCTCAGCACCCAGCCTGGGTGGCCGGGGAGGCATGTGCTTTCTCCCCCTTGTAGAAACTAAAGACAATTTCTGGAAGATTGGGAGGAAATCCACCTCTTCCAGAGCAGGGTAAATACGCTAGAGTTCAAAGTCCACATTTCAATTTGAGATTTTAATTTCTGGCCATATTATTTTTTCTTGCAAATCAGGGGTTGGCCCCAGCTTCTTGAAGGAGGGCGAGGGGATGAGGATGAGGCTCTGGATAGAACTGATGGCTTTGGAAAAGAATTCAAATGGCTCAGGACCATCAAAATTCCCCTAGGTCAAGAGGATCTGGGGAGTGTGAGAGAAGTGTCAAACAGCATCCTCTCTTCCCACCAGTCCTGGTTTGGGTGCTTCCTGAGGGTAGCGGAGGCCTGTCGGCAAGGGGGCTGAGGTGGGGGGACCAGTACCGCACACTTCCAGTGCCGAGCTCGGGAAAAACCCAGCCGTGAAGGAAAGGGCCCTTTGTACCCCAGGGACCAAATGTGAAACGAAACTCAAGTCCCAGCCTCTGGAATAGCAAGGCTATGCACCTTGGATCTTGACCCCGAGGGGCTGGGCCCCGCTGCTCCAGCCTTGAGAGTAGTTTCTAGAATGAGGCAGGCAGCCTGAGGCCAGGGCCCAGAAAGCAAGGCCTAGGTCAGGAGCTCGGGAACCAGGAGATGGAGGGTCAGAGCTCCTTTCCCAGCCCAGGGTCTGGGGAGGGACTGTAGGGGTGTGGGGGTGGGGGGTGTGGGGAAGTCCACTGGTCAAAGGCCAGGATGGGCTGGCCCATGACTCAGACCACCTGGGTATCTGGGAGCCCTGGGGGAACCAATCAGCTCCTTCCTACCTTCTGCCTACTATTATTTTGTCTTGGAATCCTAGGACAAGAAACAGTTTCTTTTTCTTGGGAAAAAGAAAGTTGGAATTTTCTGGGCTTGCCTGTGGGGGCTGGGTGGAGTCTCCCTGCCTGTGTCTATGTCCCTCTGTCTGGGGCCACTGGCTCTTCTGCTGGCAGTGAGGGGTGGCCGCTAGCTGGGGTGAGAGAAAGTGGCAAAAAACAGGACATAAACATCTGTACATAGGAGTGCTTGCTTTTACATTTAATTATATATTTTTGAGAAGTTTTTTTTTCTCCCTCAGTGCATCCCCTTTCCCTCAGCAAATGGCCGCCGCTTGCCAGCCTTGCGGGGTGGCTGCCGACCCCAGGGGTGGAGGTGAGGCTCCACCTATACCCTTTCTCGAAAAAGCACAAAATATTCACAGCCTCCAACTCCTCGTGGGTTTTTTTTTTATGTGTGTGTATGTTTTGTTTGTTTCTTTTCAAGCAACAAAAGGTACAGAAAAGGCACAGGTAACTGCATACATGAGAAGATAAACTGATGGGGGCTGAGCAGAGGCTGCTGGGACGCACGGACAGGTGGGAGGGGGAGCCCACGGGAGCAAGATGACTCGAGGAAGCTGGCTGGAAGCGTCTGTTGCCGAACACCGGAAGCCAGAGGCTGAAGCTGCCGGAGAGAGGCTAGGTGCTCAGGGGGCCCCTGTCCGCAGGCTGGTGTGCGGGCGCTCCGGGCCCCCCACTTCCTGAGGGCTCAGAGGAGCCCTGACTGGTCCTGGGTTCCCCAGAGAGGTTCCTCCTCCGCGCGGGGAAGCGAGCGGTGGCCTCGGAACTGCTGCAGTCCAGTGGAGGAGCAGCGGAGGCCGGGGGGTTGGCCAACGTGTGCGATGACTCCACGCGGGGGCTCCAGGACTCTGCCTGGCGGCCCTGGGGTGGCCGGAGCGAGGCCTTGGGCAGGATGTGGGGGCTGTGGGGGGGCGCGGGCTCCGCAGACGCCCCAGCCGCACGGGGCTCCCAGTCAGGAGGCCTGCCCAGGCCTCCGCTCGTCCTCTCCCTCTCCTTAGGGTAGTCCCTGCCCTCCAGCTCTGAGGACAGTGTGAACTTGGAGACCTTAGCCACAGGGGACACGGAGGCTGACGAGCTCTCAGTGGGACTCCAGCGGCCTCGCTCCTGGGCCTCCCTGGCCCCTGTCAGGTCACTGCCACCCCCTGAGAAGCCACTGACCCAGGTGGGCCCTGGCAGCAGGGTGGGTTGGGCCCCAGGCCGGGCCTGCACCATCTGGATCCCGCCAATGGGAATCAGGGGGCACGGGGCGCGGGCCAAGTGCTGCGAGTGCAGAGGGAGGTGGCTGAAGATGTTCTCTGTCCGGGCTGGGATGTGGCCGTGGAAGTCATGGGGGGCGGAGAAGGGTCGGGAGGAGATGGGATGAGCAGGGCCAGGTGAGCAGGAGGGACTTCGGGACTCGGCCTTCTGCTGGGGTCAGAAAACAAGACAAGATAAGGCCAGGTTACGTGCTAGGCCCATGGACACCTTAAGACCTAAAAGAGAAGGGGGCCTTGCCTGAGATCACAGAGCAAGTCCCGACTGAGCTGGGGCCAGACCCAAGCTCCAACTCCCCGCCCGTGAGGCCGCCTGCGCTGGTGCCCCCTCGGCAACGGGCTGTCCACAGGCACACACTGACCAGGCGCGCGCTCCGGCCCCACGCCCATCACACCTCCGGCCCGCACGCTTGTCTGCGGAGGATGTGGGCGCTCTGGGGAAGGGGTGCCATGGCCCCCATGCGCCTGGCCCTCTATCTGCATTCTGCTGACTCTCCTGTTCCTAAAATGGCCTTGACCCAACTGCACCCCTGGCTATGAGTCCCCATTCAAGGCTCCCGACCTTCACCCACCACCAGGAATTTTCATGTGACCCCGGAATTAAAAACCAAGGAGAGGCTTCTCTGTCAAGCTCCTCCAGAAGCGTGAGTCCCTGAGTGAGCGTGTCAGTACTGCTGGCGGGGAAGGGGGTGCTGGCTCCTGACAACGCGGTGACAGAAAGGGTGCTGGAGGTGAAGGTACGTTAACAATGGCGGCGTTGTCAGCGCTGCAGATCACGGCAGCACGGGTGGCAGGGATGGTGGTGGCAACAGCAGTGACTGCGGCTGGGGTGACAACACTAACCAAGCTGATGAGGTGGCGGTAATGGTGTGCTGGAGTGCAGTGACAGCTGAGAGGGTGTTGGCGACTGTTGGTGGCAGTGACGGTGCTGAGGGGGTGACAGGGATGGTGTTGGCCGTGGCGTCTCTGAGGGTGCTGGTGACAGTGATGCTGACAGGTGAGGATTTTGGTTAAGCTCTGCCATCTGCTCAAAGAACACATGGGGATGGGGACGGGCACGGAGTGGGAAGAGACTGGCACAGGGCCAGCTCCAAAGTCCACGCTCTGCTGCTTCTGAGGCTAAATTAACTGGTTGCAAGCACCCGGCACGGTGCCTGGCTCAGAAGGTGCCCCATGCACGTTTGCTAAGGTACCAGGGACCACTGTGCTGGCAGGGCTGTTTGGCTCCAGGCCTGGTGCCTCAGCGAGGAGCGAATTCGCAGCCCCCCACCCACCGGGGAGGAGCGAGAGGCCCAGTCATCCCGGCGCAGGAACTCACCCGTGTGGAGGCACAGGTCTCGGGGCTTCTGCCAAGAAGCTTGTGAGGTAGAGGCGCGGGCCGGTAGAGAGCCCGCGGGGCCAGCCCCGAGCTTGGGCCGCACTCGCCCGCCGAGGGGCTGCCCGGCCCAGCCAAGGCCCACTTCCCCGGCAGCACTGACCGTGGCGGTGACTCAGCCTGGCCTGGTGACCGTCTCCTGGTGGGCGAGTGTTTGGGGGTGGCTGGGTCTGTGGTGCCCTCATGTTCGGGGGGCAGATGCGCTCGAGGGGGCAGTTCCCTTCCCAGGGAGTGGGGGATGAGAGGAGACAGCTCAAGTCTTGGAGACCCACAAGGGAGAGGGCCAATCTGGGAGCCAGGTGGGCTCCGGGCTGAGGCCTGTGGCTCTCGGGCCGGTGAATGTCGCTGGGGAGATGAGTCGCTTTTGGTTAATGGGTGTTTGTGGGCAAGTGGTGAGCGGCTGCCTGCTTCTTTCCCCGGGGACCACGGCCTTCTCGGGGACAAGGCCTTAGAGCTCAGGGCTGCGCTTGTGTCCTTCTCCACGGGGCCTGAAAGGGCCGGTCCCAGCCGGGGGAGACACAGTATGCTTTGGCTGGACGTGGAGCAACTGCCTGCTTCCGAGACTGAGCTGCCCCGCGTGGCCTGGCTGCCAGAGGTGGCATCGGGGGGCCGAGGGCCCTGAACGGGAGAGGAGTCTGCTGGCAGCGTGGCGGGCGGGCAGGGCAGGGGTGCCTCTGAGGACGGTCCCGATGGCTCGTCCTGGCTCTCATCCTCATCCTCATCCTCGTCTTCATCCAGGTCTGAGTCTGAGTCTGAGTCCTCCAGGTCTGAAAACTGGTGCTCCGCCACCGCCTCCGAGCCCTCTCGCCCTTCCGAGTCCTGGAATGGGTCGTCACTGGTTCCTGCGGGGCGAACACAGGACACCGGGGTCACAGCTGGCCCCACGGCTCCTCCTCTCTAAGCCCCAGTGTCCTCGTCTGCAAACTGAGCGTGAGAGCCATGGCAACGGCACAAGATCATTGAGAGGATGAGGGACATGACAGACATGGGAGCATTTTGTAAATAATCACAGCCAACAGAATTACTTTGTATCTACCCTGTGCTGGGTTTAGTTCTAAGGACTTCATGTGCATTAACTCATTCACTGAGTCCCCAACAATCCTGTGAGGGTGGCACTATTCTAATCTTCATGTTACAGGTGAAGAAGCCAAGGTAAAAGAGGTTAAGTAACTTGCCCAAGTAAGGGAAGTAGTGAGGCTGGGACTGAACCCCAGCAAATAAGACAGGTGTCTTTTCGTTGTTTTGATTTTTTCATTACTATTTCAGTGCTCGCTCTACCATGAGCAAGTTGTCACCTTGCTGTGCCTCAGTCTCCTCCTTTGTTAAATGAGAGTGATAGTTTCACCTCACAGGATTTGAGAGTAAATGCACACCTAACACATAGTGAGGGCTCAAATAATTATGGTCACTGTTTATACAGTCATGAAGAAATCGATTATTCTGAGACACGACAGCTGTGCTGGCCAGTCCAGCAGCACGGGGCTTTGGTTTCTCTAAACGTACATTTGCCACCACAGCTGGGCTGCTGCTGGATGCTACAGTGGCATCTGGCAGGTGGCAGGCCTTAGCCTCTGTGGGTTTGGCTAAACGGGCCTCAGGCGCAGAGCCGGGCCCCATTCTAGCAGCTCCTGTCCAGGGGACCTGCTGCCCCTGTAGAAACCTAAGCTGCTCCCAGTGGGGGCGGGGGAGCGGGGGGAATGGAGCTTCAAAACCTAAGCCTCCTGGCCTGGCTTCCAGTAGGGCAGCCCCAGCCAGCAGAGTCACCTCTATCATGACACAGGTCTTGTTGGGGCATCTCTGAAATGGGCAGCAATTGGGACTCCAGGGGGAGCGCCCCTAACATCCGGCCCACCTGGCAGGCTCCTGAACGTTTGGGCTCTGCCGGCCCATCTCCAGGCTCACCGCCAGTCCCACCACCTCCCTCGGACATACCAGCACCCGCTCCACCCCTGACCAAGAGAACTGGACACACCAGCTGACTCAGGCCACGTGTGCAACCAGGCTTCTGAGCCCCACCATGCCGAGCTGTCCAGGGGCCCAGAAAGCACAGCATTCCTGCTTTCAAATAGCTCCAGTATGCAACAGTAAGATGCTTGAGATGAATAGCGGGCATTCAGGAGGATGTAGGTCGAAAACCCTGGGGTGGAGCGGGGGCTAGCAGGTGAAGGGAGCAGAGTGGTGAGGGAGGGGAAGAGACCTGGGGCTGGGAGGGGTGCAGGGATGGGGAGGGCAGTTTTGCAGTTTGCCCCAGGCATTGCTGTCCCTGCCTAAGACATCAGTAGAGGCCTGCTTCAGCCTCAGGAGTTCACCTGACCGCAGGGGGGAATCCAGGCCCAGAGAGCAAGCAGCAAGAGGGGCTTCCCCCGGGTCACCCAAGGCCAAGTGGCCAAGTCAAAACTAAGGTTTACTACTCTTGCATTATTATGCTGCCATTTTAAAAATGACATTATATGTCAAGAAGTAGAAAATGGTCTGGGTTTGAATCTCAGCTCCACCTCTTCCTTGTTGTTTGATGTTGGACAACTTGCTTTCTCTGTGTTCAGTTTTCTCATCTATAAAATGGGGGTAAGAGTAGTAGAAGCCACCGCATGATGCTGTGGGGAGGATTGCAAGAATCTGACACACACAGTAAGTACCCGATAAACCTTAGCTATTATCTACACGCACCCAGGACTCAGCAGACAGCCAGCATTGCAAGCATTTTGCAGTTCAGATCAGAGGGAGAGTCAGGACCAGGGTCTCCGGGTATCTAGCAAGGAAGGCCTGTAAAGACCCTCTTTAAGGATGAGGAATTTGATACTCAGAGCAGGGCAGTGGTCTGCCCTAGACACCTGTTGCCAGGTGATGGAAGCCAAAAGTCCTCTGCCCAGCCAAGTTTCATCAGGCCCCCCACACCTGGGCTCATGCAGGGCTCTATGGAATGCTCCTATCCTGGGGGCCCATTCCTAACGCCCCTCATGGAGCTGCGGGCCACTGCCGGGATCCCCGCCAAGGTGCTACGGATCCCTGCCGGCTCCCGGGCCTGGGAGCCTGAAGGAGACAGAATGAAGAGTGCGAGGGCACTCACGAGCTTTGGCCACACGGTGGCGCTAGTGCTCAACCTCCTCACCACCAGGGCGGGGCTGCAGCGCTGGCTGGCCACCCGGAGGCAGTGGATCCCCCCAGCTGTACTCCCCATGCCACTCAGTGTCCAACAGACAGGCTCCTCCCAGAAGCTTCTCACAGTGGGAAGTGGCAACTCCATCCTTACAGCTTCCTAGGCTACAAACCTCGGATTCATCCTTGGCTCCTTTTTTTTTCTCATGTTCCCTCCCTCGCCCTTCCTCCATGTGTCAGCAAAACCTGTTGACTCTACCTGCAGAACACGGTCAGAATCCTACCACTTCTCCCCACCTCTACTCAGCCCACCCAGTCCAAGCCAACCGGTACTCAGCCTGGGTCGCTGCCTCCAGCCGCGCCCCCTACTGGCAGTCTTCTGTACACGGCCAGACATGGAAAGTCGGGGGATGTCACTTCCAAGAACAGCTAAGTCCGGCCCTTGATCTTCACCACCTTAGCTCTTTCTGACCTCACCTCCCCCAATCTCTGGTCATGGGCTCTGTACCTGATGATCCTTCTGGGGGAGAACCCTTCCCAGACCTCATGTGGCTTCACACCATCCTGAGAGAGAGAGAGAGACCCCTCCCCACACTTCCCAGCCTCTCACTTAAAGTTTTCACTTTATACTCATCGCCCCTGCCCGATACACATGTGTTCATTGCCCGCATCCCCTCTAGAATGTAAGCCTCTTGAGGCCAGACTCTCCAGCACCCAGAAGAGGGCTGGAATAGGGCTGGTGCTCAGTTACTGTTTTTGTAGATCTCATCCTCAGGTAAGGTTGTTAAGGTCATCCTTTTTGCCTCATTGGGAAAATGAGGCTGGGAGAGAGTCGGACCAGCCCAGGGTCCCCCAGCTGACTCCTGATGTGGTGCCAGTGATAAACTCTTGACTCCCACCCAGGGAGGGTTCAGGCTCCTGCCCAGCCACCAGACAGTGGGTGGTACGGAGCCAACATTTATGTGTGAGTTCGGGCATTGCTTTTACCTGTCTGAGCTTTCCTTTCCTCTACTTAACATGGGCAACACAAGCTTCCACCACCAGTCATGGGACTCAGTGAAACATCTGTAAATGGCCGGATAGACATTCTTGATAAGCATGGTAACCTCATGCCTTGTTTTGGGGGAACAGTCCCAAGTTCATTGTGTTCTGTTCAATACTGGTGATTTATTTCACCCATCAGAGTGTATGCTCTAAGTCATTTGTAAGACTGCAAATACAGCCCCAAATCAGAAAAACAAAAGCAGAAAACACACACACACACACACACACACACACACACCCCCCACACTCCTGATCCTGATTTCAGGAAATTTGGTCAAAGGTTTGCCAGGTGCAGGAGGCAAGCCTAAGGCCTCCCCTCTGTTGGAGGGACTGCCTGTCTACTTGCCAAAGCCCCTCTGGCCTCTTCCTTGGATTCTGAGGCTGGGCAGCGCCCAGCCAGACCCGCTGCTTTGGACTCATCTTTTCCTCTGCCCTTTCTCCTCAAAAACTGGTTCTGATAATATGCCTCTTACTGATCAAAGAATACGACTGGGATGTGGTGCTGGGATGTGGGATGGGAGGGCAAGGCGACAGGCCTAGCTTTGACTCTCTGGAAGCCTCCAGTTCTCCAAGGCCCAGGGGTCAGCCCCCTGCCCAGTGTGTAGGTGTGAACGTGGGCGTGGACCGTATGTGCGTACCTTATATTGTCATGGTGACGGTGTGCTGAGATAATTTGCTGAGGTAATAATGGCATATGTTTAGAACATGCCTGACAGGTAGTGGGTGCTGTTAATGTTGACTAGGATTACTCATATGTTAATTTACTCAACACACATTCACTGAGCACCCTCGAGTGCAAGGCCATAATGCACAATAGTTACAGCTGTGCAGAATGTGCTCTCTGTATACAGAGAGGGGGGTGATTACCCTGTGAATTTGACCTTGTCTCCCAGTAATTGGGAGGACTGGAGGAGAGGGCATGGGAGAGGGAGGGTAGGGACAGGAGGACAGGAGCAGGGGAGAGGAGGGCAGAAAGGAAAGGGATGGGGAGAGGGACAGGTAGAGGAGCAGGTGGAGGAAGAGGAGGGGGTGGGTAGGGAGGAGAGGGAAAGGAGAGTTGGCAATCCGTTACCTTCTTCGGCTTCCAGCTCCTCCAGCACCCCCGTCTCTTGGCACTTTTTGCTGTGGGCCTTCGACTTCATGTGCTTAGTCAGATTCCCTGGAAAGGAATGAGAGCAGACTCAGGCTTGGCTGGAGGGCAGGGGCCAGGGCAGGCCCAGGGCACACAGAGGCAGCACCTGGCTGGCGGGCCACGGCTTCTCAGACCAGACGAGACCCTGCCAGCGTCAGGGGCTGGGCAGGGGCCTGTACTCAAGCTGGACACAGCCACCGCTGAGAGCAGCATCCAGGACCTCAGGGGCTGGGGTGGGGGGCACTGTGAGGGGACACAGGGTATAATGAGAAAGGGTGAGATGCTGGTTAGAAAAACCACAACAAAAAAAGAAATTAAAAGACATCTCATGTGCAATAGACTTTTTCTGCTTTTGATTTAACTCTGGGCCCGGGAACTGGTGACACTCATCAAACAGGATTGCTGGCTTGGCTATCTCAAATGCTGGGGTGACAGCAGAGCTCCCCTTAACCAACACGGTGGCTTGGGTACTGAGGATGCCCTTCCAACTGAGAGGACTTCTAGGGCAGGCCACAGGGAGCCACGAGGTCATGGCCCAAGCCCTGACTTCCTTAGAGAAGTAATGTCCTGGGCCTCAGTTTCCCCCAGGGCACTGTGCAAAGGCCCTGCCCGCTCCGTGCCTGCGGGGTCCTGGGTGGGGGTGGCTAACTCTGCCCCAAGGGGTCCGTTCAGCCCCATAGCCAATGAGCAGGGGCAGCTGCTCTGTGAAATCAGGACAAAGGTTGCAACACCTTAAAACCCCTCCCCCACCAACATGTGCTCAGCACTTCAAAGGCCACAAAGCCCTGTGGGCGGGAGTGCTCTGGGAAGGAGAGGCTGAGCGCTGCCTATCTGCCCCAAGAGGATGCAGGCCAGATGCCTCACAACGTTCCTTTGGGCCCATCCAACCTGTGACATGCTCAAGGCTTCTCTGTGGATTGCGACATTTCCATATGGCCGTTCATGCTATAAACCATAAGTTGTGAGGTGCTCTGTCTCACTAATCTTCATAATTGGTAAGTTTGAACGGATGGATGGAAGAAAGAAAAATGGATACTTGAACAGATAAAGAGAGGGAGACTGGTGGGTGGATGGATGGATGGATAAGAGGAAATACAAAGTGAAAGAAGGACAGGAAGAAGATGGACAGATGGATGGGATACAGGGTGATTAGATAAGCAGATGGAGACACAGATGGGGGTAAGTTATTAAATGAAAGAATAAATGGAGGGATAGATGGAAAACGGGTCAATGAACAGATGGGAGGATGGAGAACGGGATAGCAGGAGAGAAAGGTGAATGCGGGGTGAATGGCTGGCTGGCTGGGTGAATGGGTGCGCGCACACACACAGGCACGGGGCACCGACAGGCGGAGGGCGAGGCAATGGGACGGTGCGGGGAAGGATGGATTGGCGCGAGGCCAAACGTGAGAAGGGGAGGGACAGGAGGAACAGAGAGGATGAGGGAAAAAATGGGGAGATCTATGGATAGGAAGATAAACTATTAGATGGGAGGATGGGAGTCGTGGATAAATGGAAGGATAGACGATGGATAGGTGAACAGAGAGAGAGCCCATGGATGAACCAAAGGGTGATTCTTAATCATTCTGGGAATTTTAAGGAACCTTTAGGGTTTTGCTGACAGAGTAATGGGAATGTCAATCTGGGATTTCCTGAGGGGTACAGACCAAGGGCAGCGGGGATGGGAGAGAAGCTGTTTCTTTTCTCTTTCCTCATAGTCCATGACATGACTGTCTCTCTCCCAATCTCTGATTTTGCTCCTATAACTGGAGAGAAACCTGGATCTTTCACTGCTGGTTGAAGCGGGTGCAGAGTCATAGCTTCCAGAGTCATCCTGGGGCCAAAGGATCCCCAACGGTCCCTACCCAACATCATGGGCCTCGCCCTCTCTGTGGCGAGCAGGCCGAGTGTGAGGAGGATGTCGGGGGGAGTAAAGCAGCTGGGGTCTTCCATGGGCCGGAGACACAAACTGTCTCCTGAGGTTCTGGGACCAACCCACCTCCCCATGACTTCCCCAGACCACAGAGGACTATGGACACTGATCATTCTGGCTATGACATTGTTTGTTGTACATATTTTGCCTGGAAGGTTTGGGTCTCTCTTTTAACCAAGTTAGAGGCTGAGCACACAATGGGTGCACAACGGCCACCGTTGGGAAATGCTCTTTTCATCCCAGGAGCAACATTTTGGAAGGAACCTCACAGACCATGTAACCCAATCCTCACGAGGCCCAGGGTTTTCCTGCTTTTGCTCTAACTCTTGGTCCTAGTGCTGCTGACATCCTTAGAAGAGACCATTGGCTGTCTCAGCTACTGGGATGCCATGGGAGGGCTCCGGTTAACCAACGCGGTGAACCAGCCAGCCAAGGCCACGCTGCTGGTTGGTGCGGAGCCCTGCGTAGAACCAGGTCTCAGGACTCCAGGGGCCCTGCTTCTCCACAGGGCTGAGGGGCACCGGGATGGTCTAGGAGCTTGGTGGCTTTGGGTTTGAGCTGGGCCTCTGCTGCTCGCTTGCTGTGTGCTCCCGGCCAAGTTTCTTAACCTTCTCAGCCCCAGTTTCTGCAACTCTAAGGTGATACCCACCTCTCAGGGCTGCCGCCACTGACGAGAGAGCACACGCAGAGTGACAGCAGAGTGTGCCTGGCAGAGAACAGACGCCCACACATGGGACCTCCTTCCCTCCCATACCACACACACCTCTCCTGCGCCGCCCGAGACGATCACTCTTTACTGAGCACCGGGGACTCCACCACACGCCACACTGGCTGTGGAGGATAGAGATGCTGAGAGATGCCAGTGGTGCAAATGGCTTCGCCCTTCAGCCTGGGCTCAGGGCTCTCAGGGGAAGGTGCCAGGCAGCCCCGGGGGGCCTGCTTTTCCTCCGCTCCTGCCTCTGGGGTCTGCACCGGGGAGCCGGGGAGCCTGAGGTAACTTTGCCCGGAGAAGCTGTGTGGGTTCCAGGAGCGAACTCTGGAGGAGCAGCCCTGCGCATTGTCAGAGCCCTCCCTGACTGCCCCCCACCCCGCCCAGCCTCTCTCCTCTGTGAGCTGAGGGAGGTGTACCCGATGGCCGCAGGAGTCTTTTTAAGCCTGGACATTGTTTCTTTGTCCGTGGGCAGAGCCTTGCCATGCAGAGTCCTCAGCGTCTCCTAGCCATCCCACGCGGCACCCCTCGCCCCCGCCGCCCCCACCACCAAAAGCCCAGCAGTCCTGGAATGAAAGAGGAAAGGCAAGTGGATGGAGAATGATGGGCATCTGGAAGACAGGCAGCACCTCCACGGAGAGCATTAGGCGATGACCCTGTCTGCCTGGTTTGGCTCTGACTGACCGCCCTCCCTCTGCCCCTGCAGCCCGATGGACGTGAGGCCTTCCCACGACAGTCACCTCTGTCCCCTGAGGCGATCGGTGCAAACCACTCCCGTGGCCTCGGGAACCATCTGAGAAGAGGAAATGGGACCCCCAGACCTCCACAGGGACATCCCGGTGGGCCTTTCCCGGACTCACCCGCTGAGACACCCCTCAGCCAGCACCCAGGGGCCCGAGCTGCCCCCACAACGTCTAACACAGAGACGGAGACAGAGACAGGCAGACAGAGACGAACAAGAGGGGCTCTCCAGGCCTGGGAGCAGTCAGGTGGCGGGGACGGAGGGCCCTGAGGACCATCAGGCCCAGCCTCAGCTCTCCCACAGCCTGGCTGGGCCAGAGCCCGAGGGGGAGAAGGAGGGGAGCCGGAGGCAGCCCACTGGGGGCTGTGAGCGGTGACAGGAGGGGGCCCGTGGTATCTGAGTGACGGCTGAAGGAAGATACGTGGCCCCGGGAGGAATAGGAGCCTCAGTGTCCTGCCCCTTCCCCCACCTGCACCGCGTGCAGAGAAGCCAACAGTGAGCTTTCTCTGCGTCAGCCCACCCCCAACCAGCCCCTCTCTGTGGTCACAGAGTCTGAGATTCCAGCATTTCTGGTTCGCTCACTGCCTTAGCCCTGGAAGGTGCTGTCTTCTGGAAGCCTCTGTGAGCATTTGCGGAGCACTCAGCACCTCCCCTGATCAGCGGTTAGAGCAAAGCCTCCCGGCCGGGCCTGCAGGGCAGCGGGGGCACAGCCTGCGCACCCAGATATTTGCCCCCACGGCACGTGGGGGGCCTGCAGTCCCTCTGCTCGGCTTATGTGCTCTGGATCCTCCAGGCCTCTGTCCTGGCTCCCAGGGACGGGGAAGGGGCCGTAACCGGCTCGGCATGGCTCCCAGTGCAGGCATTGCTCAGAAAGGGGTGTTTCTGCCCAGGCCTGTCTCAGACCTGACACAAAAAAGACTTGGCCTTTACTCTCAAAAAAGGCAGAGACTACCCTGACTGGGAACTCAGCCGGATGGGCTTTCAGGTCCCCGTGCCCCAGGGCTGGGAGGTACTCTCAGGACTGGGCTCCTCACACTGAGGACAGAGCGGTGTGGTCCCCTGGACACACCCTGGGAATAGGGACAGCAGTTACGACCCACTCTGGAGGCCTGCTGATTGGCCACCTGATGTTGACACTCTGTCCAGAGAAGGGGGGACGTGCTCACAGAGAGGAACGTGACGGGGTGATGCCCACGACGCAGGGCCCTGGGTACAGCTCTCGCTTTAACAGTCACTTCCATTTTGGGGGGTCCCACTTTCTTCACCTTCAAGGGGCCCTTGGACGAATGATTTTTGACGTTCAGAGTCAAAAACTGTTCTTTAAACTATCAGTCATTTACTCCCATCTCTCTCCTCCATAAAGTCCCCCTGGCTGTCTGAGGCCAGAGGAAGTAGGATTGCAGGGGACACCTGGGGACGGGGCCCATGTCCAGGCCTGGGCAGGCCAGGCTGAGCTGCCCTGGGTGTGGCAGGGCCTCCGGGCTGGACGCACCATGGGGCAGGGCCCCAGGCCTACCTCTGGGCGCCCCTTCTCCGGGCACCCTTTGGAACACTGTTTATAAGACGCCAAGAGAGAAGAGGGCGAGGACAAGGAAGTGGTGGTGGGGGCGGGGGCACATCCATTCAAACCAAAACCTTGGCGAGAAAGCTCGAGCTCCACTGAGGATGATGGCGAGAGGACAGAGGAGGGCTGGAGCTGGTTTTGGGGTAGGAGACCAGAGCGGGCACGCTGTCGGAGATGTGGCCAGGGCGTGTGATGAACTGTCCCCCTGACTAGTACCGAGAGAACTGAAGGGCTATGAGAGGAGGAGGAAGTGAGGAAGGCTACGTGGGCCTTCGCAGCTGCTGCTCGGCCTCTCTTGCTGGGAGCAGTTTTACCAACAGGAGGAAGATCAACAACAGGCAAAGGGAAATCGGCTCTCGAGTTTCCTCCACCGAAAAACCACAGGACTCCAGCGGGGCCGGTGGGAAGGAGAAAGCAGAGTCCTCCTGCACAAACCCTGACCCAAGAATCTGTAAAGCACAAGAGGCTGAAGCCACCAGGGGTGTCAAGAGCCCCAGGCCTCTCTCCATTCACCTCTGTCTGCTCAGTGACTGGGAAGCAAGGAGCAAGCTGCACTGTTCCCTGCCTGTTCCGCAGGCACCGCCAGCGGCATGAGCGGAGGAGAGCTGGCCTCATGGACTCAGCCCCACTCATCTGCGCCAGGTTCCTGGGCAGCTACAGTGGCCAGGCTACCGCCTTCTCCCATCGCAGCTGCAAGATGCCTACCCTCGATAGTCAGTCCTTCTTCCTCTCGCAGGTGACTGCCAGAGCCTGGGCTGACTCTGCTGCGGAGTGTGGCTGGGGGCCGCAGGGACAGGGCTGCCAGCTGGGTGGGGGAGGGCCGGGCCCTGTACCGAGAGCTGCAGAGAAGCCGGGCAGAGCAGGGACATGGTCTGAGTGGTGAGGCGGGTGGAGGTGGGGGCGGACTCTGGTATGACAAGTGACTATGCAAGTGCGTTAAGTGGCTTGGAGTGGGATGGATTTCCAAATGCAAGAGTGGCAGTGACAAGTGTGGATGCTGGAGTTCATCAGGTCAGTGGATAAAGGGCTAAGGAGACATGCAAAGGAAGGGGTGATGAGATCAAATCAAAACCAGGAACTGGGCACGAGTGCCGCCAGGTGCGGGGGGAGTGCGCAGGGGCAGGGCCGTGTGAAATCCAAGAGGACAGGCTGGAGCGGCCGGGGGTGCCACTGCCCAGTCTGGAGCGCGCTGCTCTGCCACTGGGGAGCCCAGGAAGAGGGGGTGCCCAGGCCCCAGGCAGAGAGGTCTGGGCCCCTGAGCTCTGTGCTGGGGCTCCCAGAGGGGAGCTCCCTGCAGTGGGCAGGGGCTGTGCCCCAGCTGACTGTCTCTTACCTTTGGTTTTAAAAGCAAAGTGACAGTGCTTGCACACATAGGGCCGGACGTCAGTGTGGGTGCGGATGTGTTTCTTCAGCATGCTGGGCTTCTTGCAGCGAATTCCACACTCCTCACAAACATATTTCCCTCGGCCGCGGCCTCGCACATATACATACTCTTCGTTTGATTTGTACCTATGAGCAACAGGCGTCATGGTAAAGGAAAAAAAAAAAGGAGGAGAAGAGGCAGGTCCCCACCTCAGGAGATGCGCGCGCTTCCTAACGGCATCCAGCCGGTTACAGACGCTGGAAGAGGAGGACGCGGAACCAGAGAAAACCATGGTGGGTGATGAGCGACAAGTCGCCCTGGGGATCCAGCATGGACCCCTGCACCTGCCCTGCTCTTCCGACGGGGCGGGGGCTGCCCCCTCTGTCCCCGGCAGAGGCAGCAGACCCTGGTGCTTCCTGCAGGGCCAGTGCAACCACGGCTTCGCAGGGGGATCTCTGTTCCAGAGCCAGCCTGGTACCAGCTCCTGCCCACAAAGTACAGCCACTCTGGGCCACCAGAGGAACAAAGAGATTAACGAAAAGTAACAGCCACCAAACAGCGGCTCTAGCAGCTACCGTTTATGGACCACTCAGTCTGTGCCAGGCCCTTTCCCCAAACTGTATCACAATCACGAGGAAGAGCCCTTAAGAGCCCCAGGCTCCCACAGCCAGAGAGGGATAGAACTAGGATCTGAACCTGCCTGCCCCAAAGTCTGTCCGCCTCCCACGGGGGCAATAAGTGCTTTAGAGCCTGCTAGGAAGCCACCTAGACGCTCGTGTGAGGGGAGGAACGAGGGATGGCCAGCATTTTCTCTGCCGCTGGAATTTGGAAACCAGGAGCCCTGCATTCACCCCACTACCTCATCTCACCTCCGAGAGGAGGAGGCTCTCAGGACCCAGATTCCAGCCTCTGGGATCATGTGGGATCACAGTGGGAGCTGCGAGCAGCTTTCAGGAGCCTCCTGAGGCAGCTGGCCCCCCTGCTGGGCCTCTGGGCCACCTACTACAACTGACCATTATGACGACAACTACGACAATAACGATGCTATTGGACCTGAATCAGAGAGCTCTTTTGTCCACCAGGAAGGAAACCCATGAGGCTCACTCAATAACATCCTCACCAAAACACCTTCTTGTTCTGTTGCTACGGATGTGCGAGTCTCCTGAGCAGGAGGGGAAGGCTGCACAGGCGGAAGGGCCCGGGGCGGGGATCCAGCCTCATTCCAGGAGAGTTTTCTGATGCATAAGGCCTGGAGGTCCACAGCGTGGCTGCCTGGAGGGAGCTGAGCAAGCACCGTCCCGCGAGAGGCCTGCCCGTGCCCCCCACTCACCCCTGCAACACGCCCCTGCCCAGGTGGTTGGAAGCTCAACTCCGGGGGCCGTCGCAGAGGGACAGCTGGGAGACTATGAGCGAGTGGCAGCAGCTGGGACCCAGTCCCGCTCTGCGGGGCTGTCAGCTTACCCTGAGAAGACGTCACAGGGGACTCTCAGGCTGGAGCTGGCAGGCAGCGACGCAGCGGTCGCCGCCACACCCCGACTCCTCACCTCACACACACCACCTCCCCACTCACACTCGGGCACACACTCCCACTCGCTGACAATTCGCACACACACTAACGTGAACTCACACACACTTACACTCACACCCCCCCCCGACACCCTCACTAACACACTCATACTCACAGGGACACCCACACCCACACTGATACACATATGTACTCACGTGCTCACATCACATACACTCACCCCACGCCCCCATTCACACAGTGACAGGCACAGACGCACACCCCATAAACTCTCATACTCACCAGTACACATGGTCTCACACAAACACATTCACACGTAGACCGTAGACCGCGGTTCGTGGTGAGTACTGGTGGGTCCTGTCTTTGTCACCTCAGCTTTGGCCAACCGATGCCACTCACATCATCTGAACCCCGCTGTCTTCCTCTTACAGGCCCTGACTGGCAGCTCGGGTGCCCAGTCCTCAGGTCGGGGGGCCAGCTTTTCCCCCGATCCAGGGCAGAGCGCCACCTCATGTTCAAGGGGAGGAACTGAAGGCCATGGGGGGTGGGGGTGGGGAGAAACAACTCCTTTTGCTCTTACGAAGAGCGCCCTGTGGGTCCGCATGGGACATCTACTTCCCAGTGACAGCACTTTGCCCTCATGAAGCAGGCCTCCTGGACCCAAACCTGCTACCCACACCTGGATCTTCATTCCTGTGTCCTTCTGTGCCCTGGGGCCGAGTCCGAGATGGGGCGCCCTTTTCCCAGCTGCAGAAGAAAGACGTGAGAGTGGCTTGGTCTCCTCTTTGCACTGGAGGTCCTACTGCCTGGACACCTCCACTCGGCTCCGCTCGGCGGGTCCGTGACATCCCGTCCCCTCCGACATCCAGCCGCGATGGCGCCCTGCAGTGTTCCCCTTCCCTTCACTCCACCGCCGCGGTGAGCTCCATGGGGTCCCTCCCACACTGGCCCACAGCCACCCCGACTTCTAACATATCTGGGCTTCGCCCTGTACTCAAGCCAACCCAGAGGCAGGCACTAGAGCCTGTCTGGTGCAGCTGCCCTGGGACCCCGCATTTCTTCCCCATAGCAAGCTTATACCACACAGTCCTCCCAAAGGAAGACACACACGCACACAGAGAGGGGACTCTGAGCCTTCGGGGCGGGGGCCTGACTTGGCGGAGGAGGCCCATACACCATGAAAAGTGTGCTCAGAACCACGTTTGCATGTCACCCCACCTGTACTGCCTATGATGCTTCTGGGTCCCCGTCTCCGTAAGTGGCACACACTCCCCTCCGTGGCTGGCCAGGCCAGCACATCGGGGGCCTCCATTTCCTTCACTCTTCATCTCTCCTCCATCACCAACCTGTCGATGCCACACCCCCGTGTGTTCCAGGGGCCCCCCGCCCCCACCAGCCAAAGCTACCACCCCCGTCCTGCACTACTGCCCCCTTTCTTCACGGAACAGCCTCCCCCAAGTACATCGTTCCTGTCATTCTTCCCAGAGCTCCTCCTACTTTCTCAGAATAAAGTTCTGCCCCCTCCCACAGTGGGTACAGAAGGCCCAGGGCACCACCCGGCCCTGCTGCCCCTCCAGCTCATCTCTCACCCATTCTCACGACCCCCCGCCCATCATTCCAAACGTCACCCAGTGCCTCGGAGATTTTCCCACTGGCCTTCCACCTGCCCCCAGCACCACCCACCACCCTCTTCCACCTGACCAGCATCTCTGCTCCTTCAGGGCTTTGTCAAAAGGCTCTGCCTTCTGAGCCCTCCCCCATACCTTTAGGCCCGCAGCCAGCACACACTTGTCAGGTTGTGTGTACTGTAATGACCTGGTCACAAGTGTGTCCTCATTATCCCCATGAGGAGGGCCCACGTGAGCCTCACTCACTGGTGTATCCCAGGGCCCAGCACAGGGACGATTCCCAGCAGGTGCTCAGCACTCATTGGCTGCGCCGAAGAAAGCCGACCCTAGGCCTTCTTTCCCCAGATCTGCCATAATCAGCTTCTCAGCCTGGACGTTCGTACCCTATCAGTCCCTCAGTGCCTGACGCTGTGGGCTCTCCAGGGGCACAGTACAAAGCCAGTCCCTCCTAACCAGGGTGGGCTGGCTGGACACTCCGCACTGTCTGGTAGAAATGGCTCTGCTCAGTGGGTAGCGGTCAGCACGGGACCTGGGTTGGAGTCCTCGCTTCCTCGTGAACTCACTAGGTGACCTTGGGCATGTCACTTCCCCTCCTTGGGAATAGTCACTCTTCATTGCTTTTAAGCACACCAAGTGCCTCACATGCCTGACATCATTCAGTGCTCCCATCGACGCTTTACTATTGTCCCCATTTTTCAGAAAAGGGAACCAAGGCCCAAAGAGCTTAAGTGATGTGGCCACGATCACCTAATCAGCCATTTTTGTGCTTAGCACCTTGTCCCTGCACAGGCTTGCTGTAGAGATACTTTTAGATGATGCAGATCAAGGTTTCCTTAGCACCTTCCTTCTTCAGAGCCCCCAAAGCGAGGCCTGCAACACCACAGGCAAACAAGAGCGGCACCGTTCTCCAACCAGCCCTTCCTGAAAGGCCAGCAGCTCTGGGTGGGACCCGCAGGCGTTGACAGCTGCAGAGAAATGCCCTGCAAAGAGCCAGGGCAGGAAACCAGAAAACCCTGGTGGGGCCCTTCGGGTGCGGTCCTGCTTCCCAGGCCTTCCTTTCACGCAGGGGAAGAAGCCACGGACCCTCTGCCTGTTTCAGGGCTGCAAGACAGCCCACCGCAGAGAGACCTGGGTGCTGTGGACGCCCAGGACAGGAGCCATTTCCCCGAGCCCCACCACCTGCCTGTTTTCTGCTGCCCTGACAGGCCAGGGGTGTCAGCCAGTCTAGGAAATGTTTCAGTTTTGTTTTTAAAGAAAAGAGCTGTTTCTGTGGATTCCAGAAAGTTCTTAGAGCAGACAGTTTGGCTGCCTGAGGGGTAGGGCTCTGAGGCCAGAGGCCAATGCAGCAAGGGGGGGTCTGCCGAGGGGGGCTGGGGCTTGGTCCCGACCACGGCCATGGCAACAGGGACCCCAGGCCCCCACCTGGAAGCAGCTCTCTGTTCTGCTGACTTGGGTGACAAGCGGGGCTGCCAGGAGGGCTGTGGAGCCGCCTGGGTCCTCTGGCTCTGTTTTCATTCTTACTCTGCAGCTCTAAGGCTCATGGACTCAGCGGAACAGAAAAAGAATCAGGAGGAGTTGTTTCCTTCTGACCTAACAGAGAAGGAAACAGAAACAGGGGGTTCATTGTTGCCCTAAGCTACAAAGCTGCTAGAAAGTTGCAAAGCAGAAACTGGTACCCACACTGGGCTCCAGTGCTCATATGCGTGACATAGTGCGACCTCCTGCCTTCAGCAGCATCTCCAGTCCTGCAGCTGGTGAGGCTGGGCTGCCTATGAATATTCAGCACGTGACAACGCGGGTTGTGGCTCTAGACTCTTTGGAGGCGTTTGTCAAACCCGCAGCTTCCACTAAACACATGAGAACTCAGCGCATAGCTCCCTAAGGGGATGGCACATCTCTCTGCTCCAGATTCCAGAAGGGATGTGTTGGGAATTAAATGGCATTTCAGGCAAGGTGATGGGGGAATCGTTGTTTCTGGACTCTGCGTATGACA